AAAAAAAAAAAAAAAAAAACAGTGGAAAGAAGAAAACAGAGAAAGAAAAAGTGAACATAGTGCAGACAGATAGTTCATGGTGCATTTGTGCTAATTCGGCAATCTTTAATAAGACCTGAAGAGAAAGCTAATTATGAAGCCTGTAACTTTGTACCTGTCAAACTCATCTATACAACAAAGGCCACCGTCTGCCAACACCAGGGCTCCAGCTTCCAGCACCCATTCCCCTGATATTCTTACCATGTTATGTCAACATATATAGGATTAATGGGAAACTAAAACAATTACGGATTACGGATAAGGTGATATTTTGGTGATACCATATAGTGAAGCTCTATAAATAGATGCTATAAAACATAAAAACAGTACCTCCATCCTTGACTGCAGTGACTGTCAATCCAGCACTAGTGCTCCCTAAGCCAGTAGTTATTACAGATCTATTGCTCAGTTTAGCAGCAAACTTCAAGAACTGTGATTTTCCCGTGCCTAGTTGATTCAAATATGTTAGATATTGGAAATTACCTTATATATAATGCAAGAAAAATTCTGTACAGAATGTGATTTCAGAACTTAAGGACATGAAATGATCAGAAAAGGACATTATAGAAATGGTCAAACAAAGACTAACTTCCAAATTGGCATGATAATCTGTAAGATACAAAAATCCAAATGAATAAGATACAATTAGATATTTTACCAGGATCTCCAACCAAAAGCAAATGAGACTCTCCTCGGACCTTTGTTCCAGAAGCATCAACATGCTGAACGCCTCCGATTAGTGTAAGAGCAACTATGCCAAACAGAAATCTCAGTTTGGGATGGATTCGTAGTGACACTTAGTAGATCAAACACTGTCATTTCAAATTGTTGACGCTTGAAGTAGCTGATTTTTCCAGTTCAGAATTGATTACTGTAGACCTTGGCAATCACTGATTAATATAATGAAAGTTCCATTACCTGCAAGCTTCACAGTGAAGAGTCCAAAAACCTGTGGACAGATACATCGAAGAATGGTATTTCTTCCTTTCAAAGGAGCATGTTTAAATTCCATCCAGAAATGTCTGAATTTCATAACAATGTCCTCAGGAATATCAATATCTGACTTTAGCTCGTTCATTCTCCTGAAAAATGACATTTAAAGTAGAGAAAGTTCAAGAACTAAGAGAGAAAAGTTCATTTTATAAATACAGCACATAAATGATGATAAAAATGATGAGATTCATTCATATAATTTTATCATCGATGTTATAACCATATCTCGGAATGACAATGGAATGACCTTAAGCTCTTGGTGTGTTATAGTTGAACATAATACAGACATTTGTGAATTCGGAGCTGGCTATCCAGTGTCCGTTATTATTTTATTATTTATCAAGTAACGTATCAATACCTTCAAATAAACGTGTATTGCTTGGGTAAGGTAAGACACCCCTAGTCGTGTACTTCAAAATGATAGCTAACCATCAAAATGTACCAGAAAACCTTCCCTCCCTCCCTCCCTCTCTCTCTCCCTCCCTCTTTCTCTCTGTGGTCTGGGGGAAGGAGTAGAGGAAGCGTATGGGGGAGTATGTGACACCACAATGATCGAGTAACACAATTTAACTTTTGGAAAAGTTTTATAGTGATTTTCTGTATAGTGGAAATATGTACTATACAAAAGGCAGAAAAAAATAATAATAATAATAATAAGATAGGTCAAATTATGAGGTAAGTGAGATGAACTTTATCGTAACCTCACGGAGTTGGCTACTAGTACAGGTTCAAGGTCACAACGCACATCCTTTATGTCTGAAGACCATTTAGCAGTCAAAACTCCTGTAACAATTATGTCATCTGAAAGGCAAAGTAAGAAAATGAAGTACACAAGCTTATATTCCTAAATTGATTACTCCTTATATTCTATAAATAAAGGTGGAATTTATATTTGTAAATGAATCACACACGTGAAGCATTTTTGAGTTAGTAATGTGGCTTGTGTACTATGAGAAACTTGGCTACAATCTGTACCTCCAGCTTTAACCGTGTCGACAAGATCATCCTTCAGAATAACAGGAATTGAACGAGGGATAGCTCCCACTCCTAAAACCTGAGTATTTTCTTGAATTTTGATTTCCTGATAATCATGGCATATCTTGTTGTCTTCTACTATCTGGAAACGCGTGCTTTCACAATTCTACACAGGAAAATATCGAGCTCGTATGACATTCAAAGAATTAAGAGGCCTCAATAGCAAACTTTTTTGGAAAACTCATAAGGATTACAAGAGATCTGCGAGCGTGCTCTCGAGCTAGGGCAACCCAGTCAAATTCCATTGCACATATCCAAGTATGAATCTAACACTCGGTCTTAAAGGTAGTTTCACAAGGTTGTGATGTTTTGTAATTAGGATATTACATACGCAATTATTCTAATATAATCTCGCAATAGTAAAACTCTTTTTACCAAAATGAGTTGTAAAATTGATCCTAATGGTGGAGCTCAAACAAGAAATCAGATGAGAATTTACCCTTACTATGGATCTTTCATTGATCTTTATTACTAAGTTTATTCAGCCAGAATAACAGCTAGAGGGCCACAAATTTCTTATCAAGGACAATAATCACTCTATGAAAAAAGTGTTTTCTCCAGCTACAGGGTAAAAGAGTGTGTGTAGGAAATAAGCAAAAGGTCTATATTCTTTAAGCAGACCTGAGAAGGGCAAAATGATGGCCGGGGTATGGCATTCCTGGTTTCCACCTCCGGATAAACTTTTATTCTGCACATGAAGATTTTAATCTGGTTGAAATTACACACGAATAACAATACAAAATAATATTTACAAGATGAGGACAGTACAAATGCAGCAAGTCGCATAAGGAAGAAGGATCTCATCTGCAACTTCAAACATACTATGGACCAAAATGCACAAAGATGATTATCAACACAACAGATAAGGATACTAGTCGCTTTTTAGCATCAAGTTCCATAAATATAAATTCTCATGGGATTTTGTAATTGGACAATGAGCAGAGTTCTGCAACTAAATGAAATCATTTTCAATCGGTGTCTCCATGTATACCAATATACATCTCAAAAGAACATTTTTGTTGTAAGTCCCTCTTCATATAGCTTCTTGCAAATTAGAACTATTACTTTGCTCAGAAATCGGTTCCAAGAGAGAGCAAGCATATATGAATCAGACCTGTGCTTACATACACGACACTCATAAAGCTTCTCGCCTTCAATCATTTTGACTGCTCCAGAACGAATTACTGTGCCTTTAAGAGTGAGAAGAATCCCGCGGTGCCTCACTCTCACACGTCCAATACTCGGAAAAGTTTCTATGAATGAACTTAAACATGTAAGGATGAAGATTTACAAAGAATCGTAAGAATCTAAATATTCTTCGGAGACAAATAACAAACCGGGAAATTCCAGAGGAGAACCGCAAATATTAATCCGGACATGTACATAGGCCTTCACACTAGCATTTTCCACTCTCTTCAAATCCTCATATAGCACATTCTGGGCATTTCAACACAAGCATCATAACAAGGACTTCACATACTTCAGAAACAATCTCACAACAAAATTTCGTAAGCAAACCGAATAAAAAGCCATTTCGGACCTCGAATTCCTGTTCACAATTGATGAATCCAAATACTGGAAACTAACCACAACTACATAGAAAACTGGCTGTGGAGATGAAACAAAGCTGAAAAAGGGAAAAGAAAAACCTGAACCCGGACAGCTGATTCGTCTAGCAGGGGTAAATATTCCGCCGGCTGCGAGAAAACAAGGTGTGCTAATCCTGGGTATTCATTCATTAGCTCGGCGTAACTGTACTTGAAAATTGTTCCAAAACAAAAAGGGATCAAATACTCAGAACTAATCAGGTTATTAACAGAAACCAATCTGTACACAGATGAACACAACACAACGGGAGTTTGAACGAAAGAACGAACTTACTCAACATGGAGAGGGTAATGAAGGCGAGGATCAGAGGAGAGGATAATACACTTGAGTTGTTCCGAGTGGTGATTTTTCAAGAAAATCGCCATTTCTTTGCTGGGCTCAACGTCAAATTTTCTCATCGCCATTTCTTTGCTGGGAGAGAGAGAGAGTGTGTGTGTGAGAGGGGAAGGAGAGAAGGAAGGAGGGAGCGTTGTGTGGCGGGAGGGCGGTCTTTTTCGTCTCCACCGTTCACTTTTACGGCTCGGTTAGATCAACTATCCACGACCATTAAATGATGATATAATAGTTGCAATTCTCGACGGAATGGTAGTACTGTAGCATTTCCCAATCATATAAGCTAATTTATAATTTATTTGACTAGTACGTACCCCGTGAATGCACGACACATAGATATTAAATGAATTATTTTGTTAAGTTTCGACTCAGTTAGATGAGCATGTAAGCTAACTTATAGTTTATTTGATTAGTTTATAAATTTCATGTATTCAAATATGTTCACAAACGTATTTTTTTATTTAAAGTTAGAGTTTATCTCATAAATTTCATCTGGTAATTTTTTAATTAAGTTAATTAAAACTTTTATTTAAGCTAGCTCATCAACTAATTTTTATCAAACAATTTTATCATATATGCTAGTTTTCAGCCACTAGTCATAAACTATCATCTATAAACTCGAAATTCACTTAAAACTATAACCTAGCTTATATGTAAGGTTTACCAAACATAGTGATAGTATAACACAATACACTCCATACTTTGCTTTGTTAAGTCTATTTGATAGTTCTTTTGTAATGAAAAAATGAGTAAACTAAGTTACAAGTCAATCATCTATACGTTAGCTTATCAACTAAGTTTACCAAACATAGTCTAAAGGTGTACTTGAATACAAATATATCCACTCTAAACATGTTTTTTATTAACTACAGTTAATTTTGAGAAATGTGGTATGTTAACCGTTAATGAAATTTTATGTTTATATTAAAATAATATTTAAAATAAAATAATTAAAGTTGATTTAATATAAAAGTAAGAGAGAGATGATGTGAAATAATGATTAGTTAAAATTAGGTGAGTGAATGAATAGTTAATTAAAGTTGATGTGACGTGTAAAAATAACAAATTGATATTGTTTAATAATATTAATAATATTTAGGATATTGTTGAGTAAGATTTTAAGTATGGATTGAGAAAATTTATAAACAAACATATCCTAAGTTGTCCGCTCACAATTTAACTTTTCTTCCTAGAAAGTGAAAGGCTATGCGAATGATAGTTCGCTCACCTGCCCACGGTGGGCAGTGCCCACCACTTAATTTAATTGAAAAACGTATTCTCAGAATACGTTTTTCATGTAAAATAAAGTGGTGGGCACTGCCCACCGTGGGCAGGGGATCAAAATTTATGCGAATGAACAACTAATTGTCAGCATATCAATTGCACAATCGTCGTCATCTCACACTATTTTTGTACTTTTATTTTTTTACCTTAGAAAGTGTGAATAGTTTTGCGAATGGACCGCATAACTGTCACATATTAATAGCATAACTATCATATATTCGTTGCAATGCCTTCACACCTTATGAGGTGAAAATGTTAACCTATCACGATCGATGTGAAATACTTAATATATTTTCATGGGGGTGAAATATTATATACATTAAAAATCTAGAAATATTTTTCCACACATTTTAAACCTTCATTAAATTATAAGCGATTGAACTCCAAAGAGATGCTTGTAAATAAGATTTTCTGATTTTGTTTGGATTTTTTTGTTTGATATGACTAATATGAAAAACGTGGTATAGTTAGCTGTGACTTGTTAGTAGGATTTGAGTTATATTAAAATAATATTTAAAAATAAAATAATTAATGTTGATTTGATGTAAAAGTAAGAGAGATATGACGTGAAGTAATGGTTAATTAAAATTATGAGAGTGGATGAATAGTGAATTAAAGTTGATGTAATGTGTAAAAATAATTGAGTTGCAGTATTAAATTATACTGATAATATTGAAGATAGTAAAGTTTAGTTAAAATTGAGTTAGATTTGAGTTCAAAAAATTATTAGTTAAAAATGACGGATTTTTTTGGAAATTTGTATCCAAACATCCCCACCTCGTGTGATAGGATTTTGCTAAGTTGAAACTTGATGGGCCAATTATACTATCGAATTAGAATAGACTCGTATGGTTTCGTTAGGGCGCCATCATATAGCACGACTTATGAAATCATCAATAATTATTCACAAATTATGTATTGACTCCATAAAATTTCTGTTATGAAACAAATAAATTAATTTTGTCTTCAAAAACTCCTCTTCTCCTTAATATTCTCTCATACCCCAATGTTAACAAAGTTTCCCAACCCCATAAAATCTACTTGGGGAAGTAATATTAGCCATCATACATAATAAGAAATGACAATAATAAATAAAAAAAATTAATAAATAAATAAAAAAAAGAATAAAAATGTTATTTACATGGGGTTACAGGAAAAAAAAAACAAAAAAATCTTTATATCATTATCCACATTTATTTTGTTTATGCATTTTCATATCGTTGTCTACTACACTAGATTTCTATTATGTGTTGTGTTTTAGAAATTTAATTATAGACGGAATCCCAACCTTGGTTCATGTGTCACAAGGAAGTCAATATAGAATCTTGAGTTGGTGTCGATCACACATAAAAAAAAGTTCCAAACATTCTAATGATTGTGAAGGAAAAATTCTCTAATAAGTAATAACTATAGAAAACTAGAAATCAAATTGATAACAAAAACAATGAAGAGGTAGAAGAATGTTAAGGGCTTATGGAATAATCTCATCATTGTCCTAAAATCTACATCAAATGCATTATTGCTTGGCTAAAGATTGAGGATCTCCCAAATGGCTAGTGCTTCTGTCTCAATAACTTTCGTAACAAGGGACTGAACTTAAACGAATGGATAAATGCACACACAAGTCGAGAGGTCCGTCCTCGATAACTTCTGCAACACGGGTTCGAACATGCACAAGCAAGTATCCCGTCAGTAAACCTATAGACAATACAATCACAAACATGTCTACCCCATTTGAACTACGATCACACAATCTATCCCCTTCCAGTTTCTAGTTTATGTATCTAAACTACATGGTGATCAAAGAACAATTTATGAAACGCAAATATTTCGAATAGGTGCGAATATTCACACGTTCAACATAAAGTCTAATAAGAATTGAAATCTCCAGCTTAGATGGATGAATTAGCTCATGCTTGAATTCAAGTACAAGCTAATCGAATACAAAAGATTCTCCATCAATCAACATGAATAAACATAAAATAAAAACTTACAATCAATTGAGAATTTACAATAAATCTCAATGTGAAATACTCTATGAATCCAAACGTAAGAAAAAGGGAGTGATTTTGGGTATTTGGGACCCTTTCGAATGATCACCGGGTTATGTCTGTGCCTAAGGATCTCCCCTAGCATTCGACTTCCATTTTCTATTAATAGCATTCAAAAAGTGGTCTGAAATTAGTCCGTATACATTTTGTTAACAGATTGTAGGCATGGTGAGAGTTGGGGAAGCAGATCGCGCCCGCGAGGCCTCGAGAGCATGACGGGTGCTGCTCGGAAAAAGGAGTACACATTTTGTCTCTAGTTCTAACCACCTAACAATTCTTATATGGACAAATGATGATATAATCTCACTTAGGCAACATTTAAATTCAAATATTTAAATATTTACTGAGGGCAAGTTCAACTCCCCATGTATGTTGGAATGATAATAGAAATTGAAAGATTTTGACGTCAGATAGACTTTAGTCATTATTTTGAAAGATTTTAAATGACATCAAACCTAGTCATTTGAAATCCGCTATATATTCCACCGTTGACTATCACAGACCGTCCGTGAGTATTATTCTTCATTTAAATATATCGCCAGCACGAGTCAACATAGCTAGACAAATGAAATTATAATCATTTTCCCAAATCCATTCAAAAAGTTTATAGAGAATTTATATTTCAGAAAAATTAAAATCCAGGGATTTGAAATCCGGTAGGTAGCATTGTAGTAAACTATATACTAACTGATGTTAAATTCTCTATAAACTTCATTCTTATGTATTCAAATGGAGATTTTTAAGGACTTTTAAGAACTATACACTAATTGATGTTAAATTCATTCTTATGTATTCAAATGGAGATTTTTAAGGACTTTTTAGAACTTTTAAAATTTGATGACTTTTGTGGACTTTGTAGAACTTTCATGACTTTAATAGACTTTTTGAGACTTTCAGAGAATTTTCATTATTGACTTTTTAAGACTTTCATAATGGACTTTTTAAAACTTATTGAGACTTTTATATACTTGCAGTTATAATATTATATTTGAATAAAATATTAATAAACGTAACATAATAACTAATATAAACAAGAATAAATGAAAAAAAAAAAGATGATATATATATTAATCCTCTGAAAATTTATGAATAAACTCATTTTTATGCGAAATGAGTTATTCACGAACAAATTGTTTAGGATTTTATATTTATTAAACGAGTAAATTGATCTGAGATTCAACGAGTCGAATCGA